TGTTTTTATTTTTTTTAATTGTCATTATTTTCACTGTAAAAAGAAATTACCTAGACTATCGGACTCTTGAAGCTTGTTCCCTGCCGCCCGATCACCCGATTAGTCTCGCTTCGGCTTTCGAACGGAAAAGCTGGGTCGCTTACGATCAGAATGCACAATACGCAACAGGACGACGTAAAATTAAATGGGAAATAACCATAATAAAAATAAGAAGCGACTCGGTTGACGTAAAGAAACGGGCATAAATATGATAAACCTAAGGAAATAAGTATCTAACGACCTATCTACTTACAATATTAGTGATTACAAACATGTCGGTACATAGCATACGACGCGCTGGAAAGTGGGGGTGCAATTAGAATTTAAGCTGAGGTAGTATAAGCCCTTAAGGATCAATCGGTAGGCAAAAACGTTGTAGCCCACTACTTGCAGTATTAGTGATGACAAACATGTCGGTACATAGCATACGACGCACGGGGAAGTGGGGGCGAAATTAGAATTTGAGCTGAGGTAGTATAAGCCCTTAAGGATCGATACATGCAATTTGGGATAATTTCAAATAAAATAAGAAGCCTTATTTACTCGTATTTTCAAAATCGGATACCGCTGTTTATAATATTGGTCCCTACATATGAAATTAGCGTTTTGTCGTACTGGCCACTTTGATCGGAAATATCTCCTCTTTGGTTAAGGGGAAATATAATCTCAAATGGCTTAGCAAGATCCTTCGTTATGCCGAAAATATTGCAGCATTAATTTTGAAATAAATATATGGTAAAATTGAGGATTAATGTTAAGGATTATGTTAGACGAAAACACGATTTCGTAAAATTTTCTCGATAGAAAAAAATCCAAAGTTACCTCCAAAATAAACAATAAACCGCTGTTATTCATAAAATACTTTAAATAAGATCATGAAACTTTGCATACTACGAGTAACTGAACTAACTATAAAGCAGTGCTTATGTTATTTACTTTTTTTTAAATACCATTATTTTCACTGTAAAAAGAAATTACTGCCGCACGGTCACTTCGCTTCGGCCTTTGAACGGGGAGGTTGTGTCGCTTACGATCAGAATATACATTACGCAACAGGACGACGTAAAATTAAAATGGGAAATAACCGTAATAAAAATAAGAAGCGACTGGCTTGGCGTTAAGAAAAAGGCATAAATATGATAAACCTAATGAAATAAGTATCTAACGAGCTTTCTACTTACAGTATTAGTGATTACTAACATGTCGGTCTGCAGCACCGCCCAAATTTCGACGGAATCGAAGGCTTTCTCATAGTCCACATACGCCAGGCAAAGTGGCAAATTGTACTCTTCAGTCTTCTGTACAATCTGCCGCAGGGTATGTATGTGGTCTATGGTACTGAAGCCTTTTCGGAAACCGGCTTGTTCGGGAGGCTGGAAGTCGTCGAGTCTGCGTGCGAGACGATTCGTAATGACTCTCGAAAACAGCACGTAGACGCGGCTCAGAAGGGAAATCGGTCTGTAGTTCTTCAAGAGAGCGTTGTCGCCTTTCTTAAAGAACAAGACCACCGCACTTCTGCTCCACGCCTCTGGAGTAGTGTCACCATGGAGGACGGAATTGAAGAGCTTCTGAAGGACTTCAAGTACCGGTGTTCCACCCGCTTTCAGAAGCTCCGCTGTAATTCCATCCTCACCTGGGGCCCTGCCGTTTTTAAGGTGCTGAAGAGCCATTCTAATCTCGCTTAGACTGACGTCCGGGATATCATCGGAATAGTATCGGATAAGGCTTGCTCTTGGATCGTTACTCACACTTACGTGTGGCTCCAACGATGATGTGTACAGCTGTCCATAGAACTTCTCAATCTCACTCAAAATCTCAGGTGTCCCGGAAACGATGCTGCCACACTCAGTCTTCAGCTTTGACGATTGGCTCTTACGGACAGACAGATCTCTGTCAAAGACTTTGGAGCCCTGGTTCCGCTCGATCGCTTCTTTAATACGAGCAGTATTAAAGTTGCGTAAGTCTCGCCGCATGCATTTGGAGATCTGTCTGTTCAGTTGCCTGTATGCTGTCAAATCTGTTGACGATTGCAGCCTCATCTCCCGTCTAACAGCCATGAGATTAAGAGTGTGATCGAAGAGTTTTTGTGTTATTCTGCGGTGGGTCTTGCAGAACTTAGCTCCGACCGCATGGACAGTTTCCACGAGCTTGTCATTCATATCGTCCACTGCATTGCAATCTTGTAGGCACTGAAAGCGGTTGTGTAACTCGAGCTGAAAGTTTTCGGGATTTTGGATTAGAGCACGAGGGGGGACGGAGCGTTGACTTCATTAGACGAGACCTCTCCAACTTAACGTTTAGGTTCAGTGTGCCTCTAACCATTCGGTGATCGCTGCCAGTTTTCACCCTTGCGATCACTGAGACATCACTTAACAGTTGGCGTCTGGTCGTCATAATGAAGTCAATCTCATTTTTTGTCGAACCGTCGGGGCTCGACCAGGTCCACTTCCTTTGATTTCGTCGAAATTTGGGCGGTGCTGCAGTCTCTTCAGCGGTGCCAAGTTGACTGTCGGTATATCAAAGTGCTGAAGTGTTTGTACAGTAGGGCTACGATGACTATCCGAGTACAGAACCAGAGCTCGAAACCTATCCAACTGCAGAGAGGTGTAAGACAGGGTGACGTTATATCCCCGAAACTCTTCACCGCTGCTTCGGAAGACGTTTTCAAGCTACTGGACTGGAAAGGATACGGTATTAACATCAATGGCGAGTACATCACTCACCTTCGATTTGCCGACGATATAGTCCTTATGGCAGAATCGCTGGAGGACTTAAGCACTATGCTCAATGACCTCAATAGTGCCTCCCAACGGATAGGTCTTAAGATGAACATGGACAAAACAAAGATCATGTTTAATGTCCATGTCACACCTATGCCGGTAGTTGTTGGGAGCACTATGCTCGAAGTTGTTGACGAGTACGTTTACCTGGGACAAATAGTCCGACTAGGTAAGTCCAACTTCGACCGAGAGGTCAATCGACGGATTCAACTCGGCTGGGCAGCGTTCGGGAAATTACGACACATCTTCTCGTCAGGTATACCTCAATCTCTGAAAACTAAAGTGTACAACCAGTGCGTGTTGCCAGTGATGACTTACGGATCTGAGACGTGGTCCTTCACTGCTGGCCGTATGAGGACGCTCAAGGTCGCTCAGCGAGCTATGGAGAGGGCTATGCTCGGAGTTTCTCTGCGTGATAGACTCAGAAATGAGGATATCCGCAGTAAAACCAGAGTGACCGACATAGCCCAACGGATTAGTAAGCTGAAGTGGCAATGGGCCGGCCATATAGCTCGAAGAACCGATAACCGAAGGGGAAGAAAGGTTCTCGAGTGGCAGCCTCGTACCGGTAGGCGTAGTGTAGGGCGACCCCCCACTAGATGGAGTGACGACCTTGGTAAGATATGCAGGAAGTCGATGGATGCAGGTGGCTCAGGACCGTGCTTTGTGGCATTACTTGGGGGAGGCCTATGTTCAGCAGTGGACTTGTGAAGGGCTGTGACGATGATGATGATGATGATGAACATGTCGGTACATAGCATACGACGCGCGGGCAAGTGGGGACGAAATTAGAATTTGAGCTGACTTAAGAATTCCAAATTCAAATTTATAAATTCATTTAGCTGGTACATTTGAGTTTTGAAAATAGTCATTCATTTATTTTTTCCTCGTTATTTTTTTTCGCTTATTACCGCACAATGGAAACATATAATATCGGTATATTTACGAGTACGAGTTCTACCATGGCACCAGTGCCTCAGAAACAGCTCGAAGGATTAGTGATGTCTACGGCGCTGGTGTCGCAAAAGAAAGCACGGTACGTTTTTGGTTTCTACGTTTTCGTTCTGGAAATTTCGATCTTCAGAACCAACCCCGTGGACGGCCGGAGACCAAAGTGTAAAATAAATAATTAAAGGCTATTGTGGAAGCGGATCCATTACAAAGCACTTCAGAGACAGCTGCAGGCTTCGAGATAAGTGATGAGACTGTATCACGACAAATCGGAAATAAAAAACTAAATCTACCTCTACACAATATGTATGATGATATGATATGATAATACATTGCTTAATAACGAATTGAACCTCATGACTTGAGTGAATCGAACTTACAAACACGCGTGACTGCTGTGTTACTTTACTCAAGCGAGACAAAAATGTATCGATTTTAAATCGAATCATTACTTGTGATGAAAAGTGGATACTGTACGATAATCGGAAGCGCTCGTCGCAATGGCTAAACCCTGGAGACCCAGCCAAATCCCGCCCTAAACGAAAATTGACTCATAAAAAGTTACTTGTGAGTGTTTGGTGGACTAGCGCCGGTGTCATACACTAAAGCTTTCTAAAATCTGGTCAAACGATTACGGCAGATATCTATTGTCAGCAACTGCAAACCAAGAAGGAAGAACTGGCTGCTACGCAACCGAGATTGGTCAATCGCTCTAGGCCACTGCTGCTTCACGACAACGCAAGACCACACACTGCACAACAAATAACCACTAAGCTAGATGATCTAAAATTGGAATGTCTACGACATCCACCGTACTCCCCGGACTTTGCTCCAACAGATTACCATTTTTCCGGAATTAGGACAACTTCTTGCAAGGAAAAAAATTCAACTCCGATGCGGCAGTCCAAACCGCCTTCAAAGAGTTTATTGATTCTCGCCCCCATGTTTTTTTTTTAGTAAAGGGATCAATGAACTACCTATGAGATGGCAACAGTGCATAAATAACAACGGTGCATACTTTTATTAATTAAATATATTTTACAAACAAAAATTGACTTTATATTCCTCCCGTACAAAACGCCAATTTCATATGGAAGGACCTATTATATTCTTTCGGGGTCTCCCTTATGTTCAGCACATCAGCCATCAGCATCAGACTTGTGATGGTCTGAGTGATGATGTATTTAGATGAAATTATTGCAATATAAATATGTTGTGCTTCATAATAGGATGACGCACAAGTCGGCGCTGGTGGTGCTTCTGGCGCTGTACGCGTGGCCAGCGCGGTGCGGCGAGCCAGTGTTCGACCCGAGCACCCTGATGCGGCTAGTGCTGGTCCCTGCTGACGCGCCCGTAGGCTCCGTCATCTACCGCGTCCGCGCCTCCGACCCCGACTTCGACTACCCGCTGCACTTCGAACTTATAGGTGTGTATTTCATACCCGCTGCACTTCGAACTTACCTATAGTATTCATACCCGGTGCACTTTGAACTTATAACAACCCGATGCACTTCGAACTTATAGCAACCCAGTGCACTTCGAACTTATAGGTGTGTATTTCATACCCGCTGCACTTCGAACTTATAGGTGTGTATTTCATACCCGCTGCACTTCGAACTTATAGGTGTGTATGAAAGCTCAATAATTAATAAATTTTTTATATATATATATATTTATTTAAAATTAATATACAATGCAACTCACTTTTTTATTCTTTAGGTCTGATTTTTCAATCGACAGACAAGTACAACAGTTACACGTGGAGTAAATTATAACCTGACTGAATATTAAAATAAAACAATTGAACTATTATTACATTGAACTGAATTTTGTAATTTGTTTTTTTAATAGTTTATCTATGAATTACTTTAATCTGGTAATTAAAAATAAAACTTTATAGATTCTTTGATTATATTGGTAGGTTTTTTAATAGCTTATATGAGTATTCATTTTCAGCTTTACATGTTAGGGCTGATCTTTTTAATTTTATCAGATAAAAGTTATTCGTCTGATAAAATATAATATAAACAAATGAAATATTAGAGTTTTAAGTATGAAATTGTTTAATTGTTTTATATTCAGTTAGCTTATAATTTATTTGATGGATAACTTGTTCCGATAATTGAGAAATCAGACCTTTGCTATAAAATCGATATACGCTGTTGAAATCCATCAATCATCTAATGCAAATTAAGTAGGAACGACATTTTAATATGTAACTTTTTTAACAGGTCAAATGGGCCGTCTGGATGTAGGCATAGAAACCTTGCCTTGCACGAGATATAATTCCGTTTGCCAAGCCAACGTAATTCTTCTCCGACGACTTGAACCGGGTCGTTACGTGGATTTCCGGTTATCTGTTCGCAACACCAGAGGGCGCAGTTCTCGTATTGCGTGTTCCATCACTGGAACAAATGCCACTACACCCAGGGACACCATTTTTCCTCATCAGCCTGGCATTATATTGGTGCCTGAGGTATGAAATATTAATATTATTATTTTTATCAGTTTTAAAATAGTAATATTGGTTATTTAATCACACTACTACTTAATTTTTTTTAATTATTTCAAGCATTCGTTTACATTATAACACAAATCCTTGTACGCTTTTTCTCTGTTTTGATAAATCAAATACATTGCTACGATTTGATTACTAAAAAAAAACATTTACAGGACGCTAAGAGGGGAACGGACCTCGAGATAGTTATAGCGAGGAAGAATCCACTGACGCCGAAGCCTTTAGAATTGGAGCTTTGGGTAAGATGCATTATTCAATCGAATTTCAAACGAAGGACTTGATAGCGGTTGATGATTAGAGTCGTTTAATGATGCTGCCGGGTTTACTGGCTTCGTGTTCGACACGCGTTTCGCTGTAACCGCATAATGAAGTTTCGCCTGTGCGCTAATGGGGCTCATTTTCACCATGATATCACGTTGACGTGTCTCTCCGCCTCCCATGAAATTAAGTTTATTGTTTCACGTCATGTGAGAATGAATATTACACTGGAATCCATTATTGGATATTTCATTTAAAGCGATTAAAAGTAACAACAACAATTTAAAGATATTGAAATTTAAAGAAAATTAAAACGTAGATACTTGAGAAAAAACGTTTATAATTATTTAGTATTCGAGTTTGATGATAAATTTTCGAAAGGCCACTGTTGCAATGCGATGGGTTGGGCGCAGGACGACGAGTTTGCGACTCCAGATGATTGCAAAACTACTGAACATTTAGAAGACTCGAACCAATTAAATTTCTTACACAGCGTGGAGAACGGTCTGGCAGCCGTAACTTGAGATCATTTTATCGCCAGCTACATGCTTTATTAAAGAAAACCGTATCCTCACGAACTTTAATAATTTTAGCTTATATTTTATACATGTATATATTATAGGGACATGAAACCTAACCTAACTTCTTCTCCAAATGCTTGTTAAAAAATAAAAAATACTTTCCAAAATTGCGCTACAGTTATTATGAAATGCCGGGCCTATCCAAGAATCGATCTATGTGAACATTACACAGACCATGCGATCTCCGTCACAAGTATGTTTATCTGATCATTATAAAGATAGTTTCGACATCTGTCAGATGTCCTTTACTAAGCAACAAAATAAAATAGTGCGCTTGATTTTTTTGAACCGCCAGCACACGGTATAACGATGACACAAACGAACGCCCGTTGAATTTCAATTATGTATTATTATAAGAACCTAATTTCTTGTTTCAATGCAGGGATCGCCGCTTTTTGCGATTCGACAGCGCCGAGTATCAACAGAAAATACAGAAGGCACGATTTTCCTTGTTGGCTCACTAGATTTCGAAGCACAGTCTATGTACCACTTAACACTATTAGCGGTGGTAAGTAAAACAATTAATTCAATTATCACGACCTCCTTACATATTTTGAACGGAACACCGGCAATCGTAAAACTCTGCTCAGGCGGTAGTTATTCATTGCCTTACTTGAAACCACAGCTGAGCAAAGACTGGCCTTATAGAAAGGGTTTCGCCCATTAATATCAACATTGCTGTTATCCCAACAAGTTAAACGGCTTGAAAACAATGCGGATTAACAATTACACAATGTCGGTCTTTATTTATTGTTTTAAGTGACTAACCCACACTTAGTCAACTTATATTTCAAAAAACTATGTAATCAGTAATCACTTACCAAAAATCACGAAAAATTTTTTAATATTGCTTAGTTTGCTGCTATAATGTAATAGTAGTTTTAGTAATAGTATTTATACATTTTGAAATATATTTTCTTAAGTACGGCGACGGCAAGCGTCCGACTCAGCGTGGTTTGGCGATATGTTTCCGGTTTGATTAGTGTACCGAATGGCGCCAACATCTTATATCTGTCACAATGCCACACCGCTCGACCTACCAAACGCAATCTTGAGTGGTAGCTCGTCTTCCATAGAACTGGATCAGTGGGCAGTCAGTACAGACCAATATAAAAGCGTGTTTCACGCTGCACGGTCCACCGAACTCTCTACTGAGGCAATATCTAAGAGATATGAGAGAGCGATAATGGGACTAAAAAGAAACAATTCTTGCGGATATGATGAAATCCCAGCTACTCTACTCGTATATTGCGTAGATGAGTTTGTAAAGCCCTTAACTTTTCTTATAAATCAATCGTATAGGGATGGCGTTTTTCCGGAAAATCTAAAATTAGCCGTGATAAAACCTATTTTTAAAAAAGGCGATAAAACTGCTGTATCCAATTATCACCCCACTGCATTACTGTCTGTAATTACAAAAATTTTTGGGAAAATAATTTGTAGTAAAATATATAATTTTTTTGAAAAATACAGCATTTTTAGTAAATATCAGCATGGTTTCCGAAAAGATAATTCTACTACATCCGCTGTATTTGACTGCATCTTAGAAATTCAGAATGCTCTAAATGAAGGAAGATGTGCTATAGCTATTTTTATGGACATGTCCAAAGCATACGATCGCGTTTTGCATGGACCCTTGCTGGAAAAGCTATATTCGCTAGGTATACGAGGGAAACCGCACGAATGGCTCTCTTCTTATCTTGCGAATAGAAAACAGTACGTGCAGGTATCACATATAAATGAATATCGAAAACTGATAAATGACATGAATTCGTCCACTGCAACAGTAACAGGTTCTATACCGCAGGGTAATGTCCTAGGATGCTTATTGTTTTCTATTTATACAACGAACTTCCTTCAGTAGCACCACATAGAGTCGTTTTGTTTGCAGATGACGCGACAGTTATAATTACTTGTAAACAAAAAAATCTAAGTAGTTTGCAGGCAAAATTAACCCAATGCCTTAGAAAAATTGTGAATGAATTAGAGGTTTTAGACTTATTACTAAATTTTGAAAAGACCAAATAATGCAGTTTCGTCCATATCAGAGATCAGAAGTCCCGCTCGCTATATCTTACCAAGGTATAAGTATCGAGGAAGTTCGCACATTTTCATTCCTCGGGATAATAATAGACTCAACTTTTTCATGGAAAACTCACGTAGAAAGAGTTTGAGTAAGTTGAGCAGTTTTTGCTATTATGCCCTGCGTGAGCTACGTAAGGATACTAATGAGCAGTGCGCACTTACTGCGTACCACAGCCACGCAGCTGCCTGGATAAGATACGGCATCATATTCTGGGGAAACTCTACCGAGGTACACGCGGTATCCATGCTCCAAAAACGCTGCCTTAGAAACATCACATTCGCAGCTCCAAGAGATTCATGTCGAAGGTTGTTACCCAGATATAACTTACTAACTGTAACGAGCATGTACATTTTTGAATTATGCCGATTTGTTAGGAAAAATCCTCATTATTTCCAGCGATTTGAAGATAGACCCAGTCGCTACGGCACACGCCGAGGTTATAATCTGGTTGCTCCTGCCACACATCTCACATTATATTAAAATGGTCACTATATGACTACAAGGGTTTACAATTATTTACCTAATACAATAAAAGCCCTCCAGTGACGTAAATTTGAAATAGTACTCAAGAAAATGCTTATTGTAAAAACATATTACAGTTTGAATGAATATTTTAATGATAAATTATAAATCAATTTTAATTATTTGACAATTTTCTTTATTTCTATTTACATATTTGACATTATTAGTATTTTTCATCAATATTTTTAAACTTTATTTACATAATATAAATGACGAATGATCAGTTGACAATATTTAATGAAATTTAATTTTTAAAACTAATGTATAAGTATTATTTAGTCTGAAATTTTATAATATAAGTTATATATTGTGTACTATAAATACTGTAATTTGAATGAAATTCTATATAAATTAAAATTTAAACTCTGTTTTAATATGCTACGCCCGTACAGGATGTCACATGTTCTGTAAATATGTTGTTCCAACTTTATACTTTGTGACATGCAATAAAGAATTATGCATTATCCTTTATTAATTGAGATATAGTATGAAAAAAATTACCACAATATTATTTTTAAATTTAAATACCAAATTCATAGATGAAGAAATTCTATATTACTATTATTATCAGGTTAATCTTTAAAATATTGATAAAATATTTCAGGATCCTTATGCCGAAATTGGCAAGGATACAAGAAACATAGCTGGTTTGGAAGTTGTAGTAGTGGTCCAAGATGTGCAAGACATGCCTCCTGTGTTTACATCAGCGCCCCCTATAACCCATCTACCCCGTCAAGTGGCCCCTGGCGATATGATTGTGAAGGTGCGTGCTGAAGATGGTGACAAAGGTGCTCCCAGGCAAGTGAGATACGGTCTCGTGTCTGAGGGAAATCCATTCACGCCATTTTTTAACATCAATGAAACAACAGGTTGGTTAAATTTAATTTAAATTATGATTCCATGAACAAAAATTGTATGTAAAATAATTTATTTTTTAAAGAATTAAAATTGATGGGAAGCGGATGCTGTGGTCCATAGACATCTTTATCCAACCTCGATTAGGAGCCAAAATGTAGATGCTCTATCACTAAGTACTAAAATGGAATAGCTCGTTTCCAGTAAAAAGCGTCTCAAGTGCTCAACGCTCACCATACAAAACACAGCAGCATTAAGCTGCTATTTTTCGTTGGTATTCTGTGAGAGCGTGGTACATGCCGAGGTCAAGCCGACCCATTCGTGTCACAAACATAATATAACTGCAACATGGCTCCACCGTGTATATAGTAATCAGTAATAAATATTATTCCAAGGACGAAAAAAATCATTTACAAAGGTAAAAATACTGATGGTAATTTAGTCATAAGAGTAACATATATTTCTGAGACCTTTCTCTACTATACAAGTAGAGCAGTAAAACTTTTCAAAGTGCTTAATTAACTTACTAATATTACAATATATTAGTGTCAGAAACCCTTTTTTCAATCACGAACGACAGTCGTATTAGTGGCAGAACATCATTATATAATAGAATGGAATTGTCGGTCATTACTAACCGTAAAATAATCTAAACACTTTCAATACCATTCCAATGATTCTTACAATTTTCAAACTTGTTACTCGACACGAATAAGTTGACATATCTTGTATGTGACAGCGTAATTAATTGTTCTAATTTGTACTTTTTTTAAACAGGTCAGCAAAAATAAAAGAAATCCTATGCCTATATTACTTTTTAATTAAGATACAAAGTTACTTTTAGTAAGTTGGTAATGATAGTTTTTAAACTACATATGTATATGTATGTAAAATCTCTAAGCTATATAAATATATAATGTATTAATGATATTTATTTTTTATCCTTTAATTCGTTCATGTGCATCGCGAAACGTGTTAGGTCACTTTGATTACTTATACCCATTAACTTTATACAAATTACCGGTTAATATTCTATAATTAATACAACTGTAACTTGTTTACTCTGTAGTTTGATCATCATCGATTGCCACAATTTTGACAAAGGCATTAGAAATACTGAAATCTCCCGTATTGAGGATATGTTGCCATATTGGCCGCGCTTAATAGATGTTTTGGTGATTTGACGTTGATTCGTCCGTATACCAAATAAACAATACTTATCGCTGGGATAAGTTCTTTTTTTTATAGAAGAGGCGGCAAACGAGCATACGGCTTACCTCATGGTGAGTGATTACCGCCGTCCATGAACAACTGCAACACCAGGGGGAGCAACGAGCGAGACCTGCACGCATTTATGCCCTGCAGAAGACAACAATGACGACCAGGGGGATTGCAGATGCGTTGCCGGCTTTTTAAAAAGGAATAGACTCTTTTCTTGAAGGTCTCTAAGTCGTATCGGTCCGGAAAAATATCTGTTGGTACGGGTGGTCGATTCCACAAGGAATTTGTGCGAGGAATAAAACTTCTTTTAAATCGCACGGTCATCCAGATGGTATGGATGGTATCGCGAGTTTTGTCGCAATGTGCGATGGTGAAATTGTGCTGCTGGAATTAGTCGTTATTATTGTTTATCTGGTATAGAAATATGATCTGGTGTATCGCCGTTTTATCGAAGGACTTTGTAGCCAATTTTGTATAATTATTAAATAAAAATTGGCTTTTTAGCATATTATCTTAATATAAACGTTATCTATGCTAAGCCGTAAAATACAAAAATCGGGAAATTATATACTCACGTCATACTCTCTCAGACAAATTGGGCTTTTTCCTCCCGATGATTATTAATTGACTTGCAAGGAAGCTGTGAGACATGTTTTTATGAAATCTTTATATACCATATTAATAAAACTCAATTTATCAATACAGGCCCGATTTAAATGGGATTGAAATCCTATTTCTATTTAATATTTGCGAATATTTATATCACTTTAATATCTGTGGATGAATTTCAATTCAAATACAAAATGCTATCAGCTAATTACTATTCCGCAACGACCATGTATTTTGCTTAATGCTTATCAAATAACATAAAACGTTATTGACATTATGGCTGTACTGTTTTCGTTATACATTATTAAATACAGTTTGAAAGTGACCAACTATTCTAAAGATATCTGAAAATAAATAAAGCTATTGTATTAAGCAGTTCAGCAACATTTTTATCTTGACTCCACAATTTGCTCATTACTGTTTAATAGATACATATATCAGAATGCATCTATATAACAAAAAGATAGCCTTAAGGGGAAATATAATGTCAAATGGCTTAGCAAGATCCTTCGTTATGCCGAAAATATTGCAGCATTAATTTTGAAATAAATATATGGTAAAGTTGAGGATTAATGTTAATGATTATGTTAGACGAAAACACGATTTCGTAAAATTTTCTCGATAGAAAAAAAATCCAAAGTTACCTCCAAAATAAACAATAAACCGCTGTTATTCATAAAATACTTTAAATAAGATCATGATTTATACGTGGTAGAGCCATGCTGCAGTTATATTAGTAGTATAGTTGTAGCGCGAATGGGTCGGCTCGACCGGGGAAGGACCACGCTCTCACAGAATACCAGCGTGAAATAGTAGCTTAATGCTGCTGTATTTCGTATGGTGAGTGTAGAGAACCGGAGACCCTTTTTACTGGAAACGAGGCATTCCATCTTAGTCCTCACGGGTGACAACGCATCTGCATTTTGATTCGTAATCGAGGATGGATGTGGATGTCTATGGGCCACAGCAACCACTTACCATCAGGTGGACTGTGTGCTCGTTTGTCACCCTATCCTATAAAAAAAATGAAACTTTGCATACTAACTAAACTAACTATAAAGCAGTGCTTATGTTATTTACTTTTTTTAAATACCATTATTTTCACTGTAAAAAAAAATTACCTAAACTATCGACGTCTTGAGCTTGATTCCAGTCGCCCGCTGTCGCCCCTTCCCTTTAGTATCGCTTAGGCTTTTAAAGGGAGAAGTTGTGTCGCTTACGATCAGAATATACATTACGCAACAGTACGACGTAAAATTAAAATGGGAAATAACCGTGATAAAAATAAGAAGCGGCTGGCTTGGCGTTAAGAAACAGGCATAAATATGATAACCCAATGAAATAAGTGTCTAACGACCTTTCTACTTACAGTATTAGTGATTACAAACATATCGGTACATAGCATACGACACGCGGGGAAGTGGGGGCGAAATTAGAATTTGAGCTGACTTACTCTATCCTCTTAAGAAAATAGAGTAAGTCAAGTTCGATAATCATTTAGAATAATACATATATTTTTATGCACTACTAATTGGATAATTTTTTATTCGATAACATCGCTAGTCATACACACAACTTCCGTAGAATATGCTCGTTTTTATCGTTAACCGAAACAACACCCCCTTATTGTTAGATGCTTAACCTCATTCACCAATACGGCTTACAATTAAAGTGTTATTTCCTTTTGGAATTATTTTACTAACAAAGCTCCGACTTTTTGAATAATAGAAACTTTTATTTCAATTAAAAATGATAATTATATAAAAAAGCTTGTAAATGGACTAATTTATTTACAATAAATTAAAAAAAAATTGTACCAATCTAGCTTGTATTGTGTTAGTCTGTTGTGTATTGTATTGTAATCAAGTTGCCGTCTATATTGAGCAACTCAGCGCAATGTTACTGAGCAGTAGCGTCAACGTTACTTCACGTTTATGATCTCAAATTTTCAGACAGTTGAAGCAACATTCCTGGAGTATACTCATGCACAGAAATACAGCAGCAAATTATCGCTAGCCATTACTGATTTATAGTTCTCAGTAAAATTTCCAACGAGATAAAATTTTACAGCCCGTTTACGAGACCTTTTAAAATAAAAGGAAAAAAAAGACAATTTGTAAATGAATACGCTCACTGTTACTATAGTGAGCGTATTCATTAACAAATTTACCTATACGTGCACGTGAACTGGTTTATAATAGTTCATCACATTATATACTTACCCAAAATTTGAACACCTGTTGTTTGTACAGCTGTTCATTACTTCATATTAAAGAGGCACTTTCTTTGAAGTATGATCCAACTGCCGGTAGTCCCTCGAAAATCTAGGTTTATTTCCCCGACTTTGTCTGTTCTCTAAATAACTAAAGATGCCCGCGCAAACTAACATAAATCTGTATACATAGGTAATAATTTGAGAGTTTTTACAAAATGTTCAGTGATAGAGGTAGAGTCGTAGTAACTCAGGGGCTGTGCGCCCGCTGTAAATCACTCAGTACACGAATAACCCGGGTTCAATCCCACCGGCACTAATGAAATCGTTAATTGCGATTTGAAGTGCTCATTTACTACGTTCTCAGCAGTGAAGAAAATATCTGTTTAAAAAAAATTTAAAACAAATATTTCGAAGACACGTGAAGTCCTTTGGGCAGCGCGGTGGACATTTCCTTGCTTTAAAATCCACTTACTAGAGAAAGCCTACGTCCAGCTGTTGGACGTATGTAGGCTGTAACTTTTGTTCAACGCTATATAAAATTAAAAAAAAATTATGTGAAAGTCATTTCTACGGATTTTTTAACGTTTAATTTATACAGAATAATAATAATGTATTAATCGTGAAATAATGTAGTAATCGTGTAAACATGAGAAATAATTAGATAATTTACATTTAGATGTATAGGTACTGCTTATTTTAAACACGTAATCATTTAATGTTCCTAAAATAAGAATACTCGTATCTACTTACTTTACAATTGTAATTTACGATGAATGTTAGCTTCACGTAACTGAAATAAATTACTGAAAGAACCTTTAGTAAGCTCGCAAGTAATTATACATTAACAAGAAGAAAACCGACCCTCCGTCGGTCTTGTCAGCGAGAACGAATGGACTCTTCGCTATTAATCTTAAAAAGAGCACCGCTTTTGTATGCTAATTACAGTCACATTTTTTTTCAGCTGTCACCTGCTTGGAATAATAAGGCTTGACGCTGCTGTTTTTTCTTAAAAACTTGGTATACATTTGTATGTTAGTCAGCGAAAGTATTTTTTTATACTTGCAATTTAGAAAAGAATATATATATTATATTTGTCACGACGTGCGATAGCGAAATTGAGCGGCTGGAATTAGTCCGAACAATTCTTATGAGCACTTGAGCACCTGAGATGAAACGGGTTATTCTTATCTACAACATTTTCACATCATGTTTTTTCTTACTCTGTTAGCTTTAGCCTTTTAGCCTAGTTTAGCCTTTTATAAAATCGAAAATTTATTTTTACTTTGTTAACCTAACTAAAACCTTCTTACCTTAACCTTCTTACTCAATACTTTAATCTATAATTTTGACATCAAAAATGATTACATCTGTTATCTACTACTACATTAAAATATTTTTAATACCACATGTTCTCACCAGTCGAAAAAAAAACACAAAAGTTTTAAACAGAATTATATTAAAATTCAAATCACTCGAAAAATTCAGAGACTGCAAAAAAAACAAATTATTCAAAAAATTTTTGATTTGCCTAAAACGAAAAAACATAGACGAAAAATATGCAGTTTTTACGATGGTTGGATGAAAAGTTATTTGTCTGAGATCAGACCGAATAATAAATACAAAAAAAAATTTCTTTGAAAACCAAATTCCCATATCCCAAATTTTATTGCTAGACCTGGCGTCCCGAAAAACGACGAAAAAACATAGACGAAAAATATGCAGTTTTTACGATGGTTGGATGAAAAGTTATTTGTTCATGAGATCAGACCCGAATAATAATTATAAAGCACAAAAAGGCTACAAAAAAAAACCTATATTTTATATAGCCATTGTAGCTGTCCCGATTTGAAAACCAAATTCCCGATTATTTTTACCTTCCGTCCCGAAATTTTACTTGCTAGACCTGGCAACACTAGCTACGACCTGTAAGAGCTCAGTTACTGACTACAGTGTAGCTATCTCCCATACATTCACACAACTATAAATCATCGAAATACATAGATATTCAAGTTATTATTATTAAACTAAGAATGATTCCCTTAGAGCTATAGAACTTTTATTTAAAATCTGGAACTTATTTCATAAAGTTTTTTAATATTCTGTGAAAACACAGTCAGATTAGCCACCAAAAGGGGAGTTAATAGTGAGTGTAGATCTACCTACATTTTATTGTAAAATTTCATTTATACCAAATTTGCTGTTTTAGTCTTAGTTTCAATATTTAAATTAGATATGAATTTAATGTACTTTTGTTGCTGCAAGTAAATATATAGATTTATAAAATAACGCCATCTGGCAGCAATAGAATAAGTTATTGTTAGAGAGGATAATAAGGAGAAAAGTTGAATCTGGTACATACGTACGAAAGGTTTACAATCTATGCTGATATATTTTAGATCTTTAAAAACGTTGAGCTCTACTACCAAGTCTATTATTTATTACATAGACAAATAAGAAAATAAATATTTATACAAGTTTACGCCATGTGGTGACGGCTTATGGAATCACACCAATTCGCTCCATAGATGTCGTAAGAAGCGACAACGTCAAATTGTAATGCCAGAAGTACTTCATAGCCTCCGGTAGATGGCACTTTAACTACCGCGTGTATGTCTCATTTTTAAAGTGTACCTCAAAGTAAGTGTAATATTATTACTATAAGTACTTATAGTACCTATTGTTACGCAAATCGATGTCGAGTAGCAGCGACAAATGTGCATTACAGTATTGAGTTCGCAAATCCACGACGCAATTTGGAAAATCCGTACGACACAAGGAAAAGTGCTTTTGTGAACACAGGACACACACACATGACTAGCGAGCGTTCCCGAAAAGTATCGAACAGGGCAATTTCGATTATCAATAACTGTGCGTGAATGAAGTTCTCTGATATTGACACGAACACTAATGTTGAATGTTAACTATATAGAGTAATAACATACTTATGTATGGTAAGCAATTGAAGCGATCATCAACATTATCCGATGAGAGCCCTAGCCTTTGCGATACGTTCCGCTTCCGCAATTCTTACTCTCCAGGCTGGGGTAGCGCTACTTTGCCTAGTAGCGCGTCCAGCCGTGGAAAGCGTTATAATTATTATTATTTTGGGGTATCTCTATAGTTTTCTCATCTGGTTGGGTTCTATAAATATATAATTGTAAGTGAAAATAATAAATATCCATAAATATTTTAATAATAATAAATATCCATAATATTTTTTTTTGCAGATTGAATTTTTCAAATCACTCATTTTAATATAATTCTGTTTAAAACTTTTGTGTTTTTTTTTTCGACCGGTGAGAATATGTGGTATTAAAAATATTTTAATGTAGTGGTAGATAACAGATGTAATCATTTTTGCTGTCAAAATTATAGATTAAAGTATTGAGTAAGAAGGTTGGTGAAAATCGGGACATTGGGCGTCCCAATCAAGGGTGAATCGGGACGTGTCATAAGACCCTTGAAAATCAGGACGTCCCGCGCAAATCGAGGCGTCTGGCAACACTAGTCGTAGCTCAACATTGCCCTATGTTTACAACAAACAGACCGATGGAAAATAACACTTTAATTTTTTGGCACTTTTGTGGTTATTACATAATAATTTGCTTATTTATTTTAAGGTGAAGTAACACTAGAGCGTCCGATCGAAGACATCGCAGCAATATCGCATGCTGGCACTCCAATATTGCTCACTGTGGTAGCAGAAGAGGTACGGTTATCTCGAGAAGAACCAGAAGCCATGTCGTCTACTGTACAACTTGCGTTTATCCTTCCCGAACGCGAGAACTCGCCGCCGTACTTCGAAAATCAATTGTAAGCAACGTTACTAAAGTTTATAGTTATGTATTTGTACTATAAAGCCGTGGTAGGGAATAAGCGCTTGTCTAAATATTACATAGGTATATTGGGCCGGCAAAAAACGCCAACACCAATGAATTTCGTAATTACAACTTTGAGTATTAACTTACCACATGTTCAGCGGTAAGAGAAATCATAGTGAGGCCACCAGCATATTTGAGGAACAAAAATGTATTCTTACAAGTGAAGTCCTCCAACACGCAATGGAGCAGCGCGGAGAACCGTTCCCTGCTCCAAAATTCCCCCCGTAATGATAAGTCAATGCCGTAATGACAGTGAGCTCTGCAGCTTATGCTGTAAAGACGATTAGAGATCTCACTAGTGTCGAAAACAGCTAGATTAGTTCATTTCAGTTATTTCCATAGCATACCTAATGTCATATGGGATTTTGCTATGGGGGAGTGCGGCTGATTTAGAAACTATTTTTGTTTTGCAGAAGAGGGCCATTAGAGCTATTTACAACCTTAAACCGACAGAGTCTCTTAGAGAAAATTTTAAAGAAATAAATATATTAATTTTGGCCTCTCAGTATATCTATGAAAATTTGATGTATGTTCACAAAAACAAAGGTAGTTTTAGTAAAAAAGGTGACATACACTCTGTAAACACTAGGAACAAACACAAGCTAGAGATGCCAGTTTCTCGACTCCATAGAGTCAGTAATTCATTCTTGGGGCAATGTACATGCTATTACAACAAAGTCCCAGAAAATGTACAAGGTCTCTCTATTACCAAGTTTAAATATTTAATTAAATAAAAATTGTATAAAAAGTGTTATTATGATATAAATTAATACATGGTTGATAATAACCCCTTGGAATGAGGTGGTCGCTTCCAAGCTGTATTCTAAAATAAATTTTGTAAATATTTTGTGACCATTGACATTGTAATTTTTTTTAAAGTCCCGCTGGGTTTCTCGCTGGTTCTTCCCAGGACAGAGTTTTTTTCGAACCAGTGGTAACGTAAAAAATTGACTTTCACTAAGAATTACTTGTAATCGATATTGAATAAAAATTTATTCTATTCTATCCTATTCTAAGATTGCACCTAGCAGTGTGACGCGAGAACAACTACTTTGCGCTTAAAAAAGTTAATAAGTTATATTTCTGGTTATCGTAGCGGATTCGATTTTCATAGGGAATAAGTAGTATGGAGCCTACTATAATGATCTATAACTCTTTCTCATTTTAAACTGCTATCAACTTCAAAATAAGATGAAATAAGGACTACAGATGCGTTGTCATCTCTGAGGAATAAAATAAATTGTGACTTCTGCATTTTATGTATGCCTAATATCTCCACAGTACACTGGATACATTAATTTATTTATTAAATCTTTATTCTAAGTTACATTTTATGTGTTAATATGTATAATGTATATTCATATTGGTAATATTTTATATAAACACGCGCAAAATAATTATAACTTACCGTGTGTAGTGTGATATTTTGTAAATTGAATTATATCTCTAATACATATAAATAATGTATAACAAGTACAATTTTCAAATTAGTAGCCATGCTCGGCGGGTGGTTTAGCAACTGCAGTTTTGTGAGTTGTCATTAAGATCAACGCCGTCTTAGGTCATAACGGAGCCCTTGGGCACACAAGAATTAGGGGGCCCTGTTGGAAAGTAAAAAAATAAATGACAAAAACATTTTTCTGCTATGATTTTATAACAAGTATAGTTAATTGGTAAAAATCAAATAGTATGTCATTAATTAGGGCATCCACAACTTTTTCTGTCACGAGGGCGTCGCCACTTTACAATGAGGTAAAATATTTGACAGATTTCATAGCGAGGACGATAATTTCTTAGGCAAATGTAAACTTTAATGTTTCTTTCCTAAACTTTCTTTAAAAAAAAGAGAATATTCTATAACAACATTTTAATTATTACATTAAAATTTAGGTTTCACTTTTCTGAAAATAAGGATCGTAACAATAATTTGCTATAAAATCCAATATTTGTGGTTGAAAATTATCATATTAAATAAATCATCTGCCGTTAAATCGTATGAAGTGTTATTTTTTATTAAACAGTACGAAATGTTATTTTTATCTCTTTATATAGATTGTAAATAGATTGCCGTAAATTTTGAAACAATCCGGGAGGCGACTGTACAGCTCGACAAAAACGTTTAGATAGCATAAACGTGGATCGTGGAACTACATATATTCTAACTAGGAAGTCTGTCAATGCCAAAGTGTTGCTTGTCACAACACAACTGCTCAGGGTTGCCAGAAAGTCACTAACAACGCCCTCATTTACTCTACAATTTTTTTGTCGGGTTATATTTTCCTAAAATAAAAAAGATTGTATAGCGTAAGCGAATAAGGCCGATGCCTTTCGTCATCCCCGTTTTGAGGCCCCCGTGATGATGCCCTGGGCACTGGCCCCGTGTGCCCTTATGGTAAAGACGGTACTGATTAAAATGATGCTGCTTCCCAATACACAGCAACCTGATGTTCTTTTTCGGCAACATAGCTCTCCTGAAAATAAATATTTTAATTTTATCTTACATTAAAAAAATACTTGTAATTTCAGTTATGTAACATATCTGGACGAGAACGCACCACAAGGTACGGCGCTAACATTTAACGATCCCTATATCCCACAAGTGAGTGACAACGACGCGGGAAAAAATGGCGTGTTCTCGCTGTCGTTGGTGGGCAATAATGGAACTTTCGAGATTGCACCAACGGTTGCCGAAAGACATGCACAGTTCATCATCAAAGTTCGCGACAACACGATGCTCGATTTCGAAGCCCGAAAATCAGTAATTTTCCAGGTATTAAACATTGTAAACATTATTCAATAAAGCCTTTAAAGAATTAAATCACAAAACTTTGATAAATATTCTCTTGTAAAATAAACCCATGCGAAAAAAAGTTTTTGGGCGCGGTTTATACAGAACAGTTGTTTCTTTCATTCTCCACCACCGCCACGCTCCCTCGCCACGTCTTATCTACATATATAATCCGCGCCTTGAGTTGAGCGCCTTAAGCTTTCTACCAGTAAACGCACGACCTAGCCCAGAAAGAAGTCAACAGATGTTGATAACTCAGGGTTGTATTCAGTGGCGGTCATTGATAAAGGCTTATATTAAGCAGTATACTTGAATAATGATAATGATGATTTTAGCTTATTTATTCCTGAGCACTATTGATAACACCATAGCTATATGTACCTAACACGCAATGCTATAACGTTTTGACTTTTGTATAAATATATTACATAAATATAAACTATAATAACTCTTAACGTTTATACATTATTTCTAATATTTCAGATTTTGGCGCAAGAGCTAGGCCCAGCCACTAACCTATCGGCAATCGCAAATGTTACAGTGTATCTAAACGATATAAACGATAATCCTCCAGTATTTCTGGCACTTTCTTACGATGTGGAACTTCCAGAAAATGTGACAGCTGGCAACAGAGTGGTACAAGTTGCAGCTGATGATGTTGATACTGGACTATTTGGAAAGATTCAATATACTGCCATATTAGGTTATTTAAATACATCGTTACACCTAGATCCTATTTCAGGATTGATAACTGTAGCAACAGACAACCACGGCTTTGATCGTGAGGCAATGCCAGACTTGCATTTTTTAGTAGAGGCTAGAGATAATGACGGAGTAGGTTTAAGAATAACAGTGCCATTAATTATTAAGTTGTTAGATGTTAATGATAACCCACCAGAATTCGACAGGTCTTTGTATGAATTTGTATTATCTCCTAGTTTAAATAATTTTACATCAACCGCAATGGTAAAGGCAGTTGATAAAGACGCTGAACCACCAAATAATGTTGTCAGATACGAAATAATTGATGGGAACAGTAAAGGAAACTTTTTCATTAATGAAGAAACAGGTGAACTATATATTCTAGAAACGTTAAAAAGAACTAAGAAACAGAATGTTAAGAGGCGAAAACGGAAAATTGATGATGAAGAAGAAAGTAATGTTTTTGTATTAACGATAAGGGCATACGATCTTGGAGTTCCTAGATTGTTCTCCTCGACTTCCGTTAAAATTTATCCACCTGAAAGCAGGACTAGAACAATGTCCTTTATTATACCTGGGGCTAATCCAGACAGACAAAAGTTAGAAGAAGTACTCAGTACCCTTTCAGGCGGTAAAGTAAATATCATTGAAATAAAAAAATACAAAGGAAACGATAATAGCCCTACAGATATAAATGGACAAGTATCTAGTCAAGAAAAGTAAGTATTATATATACATATTATAATTGCTGCTTTCTCCTTTACTTTAAAAGATATAAATTATATAATATCTGTCAAAAAATCATTTTTCATAACAATCTTTAAGTAAAAAATTTCAAATAAAAGTCCCTTGAATCTAAACATCATGATTCACTTTTATGGTTTTTATTTATTTATATAAGAATAAATATGAAAAGGGTGAGGTAATTTATTAAATACTGTATGGTAGTCAATATGTTTGTTTTATTTATACAGAAGCGAAGTCATTGCTGTTGTGAGAATGTCGGGAAATACGGCTATCAATGTTGCGAAATTACAGGAACAATTAGCAAAAAACATGACAATCTACAATACTGGATACGGATCCAAAGATACAATATCTTCTTCAGACAGTGATTCGGTGAGAAAATGCATCATATTCTTTTAAAAATAAGCTGTCTAAAATCAATTTTATTAAATATTTGTTTTTTTGTTTATAGGGACTCTACAAGGCGGATAGTCGCTTACTGTTTTGGTTATTAATACTCTTGGCAATTCTGGTAGCGTTGGTGCTACTTCTTCTTATATGTTGTTGTATTTGTGAAGGGTGTCCATTATACATGCCACCTAGGTAAATATTTTTATTGATACTTTTTAGTAATAAGTTTTTACATTAATAACTTTTGTCTACTGGTAAAACCAAAAATATAGAAGAAATATAAATAGAAATTTTACTTAGTGCATATTTTTTCTAACTAAACTTTCAATTTTCTATTACCAGCACATACACTAGTTAACATGTCTTTGTATTTATCAGCTATTGATGTTATTGCAAGAATGTTATTTACATTTTAATATAAATATACGAATTGGCAAATAATTTTATTGCCAAATGCACACAATGCTAACACCCAATAATACATAAGTGCACACACATGTTAGTTAGTCTTAATAAACTTAATTATAACAGAACCTCTAGGTACATAGATATCCATTAATAAATTCTAGGAAAAGAGTGATACGTGTCAACTCCACAGAGGACGACGTGCATTTAGTGGTGCGCGACAAGGGACTTGGGAGGGAAAACAAGTCAACGCAAAATATAGAAAATAAGTCAATACAAGCAACAGATTGGCGGAGCCGGGAAGCGTGGAGTGCTGAGCAAGCAGATTTGAGGACTAAACCGACTCAATGGAAATTTAATAAAAGAAACTATTGTTCAAAGGAACCATCAAAACCCGCATCGACACCTGGTAATATGAAGCACGAGTTTGTACAAACTGCGGAAGATAACGATTACAAATATGATGACACTAGACAATCCTTTCGGGCAAGGTGAGAATTAGAACTTAATACACTACCTAATATACTTTTGAAAGTGTTATAGGTGTATGTTAATTACCCTAACTAATTACATTTTGAAGATTCTTGATAAAATATATGAAAATATACAAAACAATCTGCACGAACACTTGTAGAATAAAATGTAAATAATTGTGAGATAATTTTGTTGCTTCTGTTCTGAAAACATTAGTCACATTACGTAACACTTTCAATTCAATATGTACGAGTACAAATGATTTTATTTAAGCTAACCCAAATATATGCTTATGGAGTAAACTTTATTTCATCTTATTCATTTTCATTAACATTGATATATTTTGATTATAACTCCAACTTTGTAATACCTCTTAGTTTCCTTAAAAACACATTTTTAACCTAATAATAAAAATAACCCGTCAATGTAATTGCAGAAAAAGATATGAAAATAATATGTGAAATCCTTCATAGCACTTTTTTTTAATTTCAGGGATGGTCCAAATATTATTTATACAAAAGAAATGCAGTTACAACAAACTTTTGCTAATAAACATAAAGAATATATTGAAGATTTAGAAAATGGTTACGATAGAATTGCAACACTTCATTACCAGAGACAAGAACATGATGGTGATTCAATTGGAAGACATGAAATAGACCGTGGTTCTGAGACTGGCGTTTTTCTTAAATCTGATGTTAATAAAAGTACTGTTAAAGGTGACGAAAATAAAATAGAATTTGAAAAAAATAATACACACGCTTCATCTCCCCATGGCAGAGATCAGCTCTTTATTAAAGAAGGAAATACTGAAATTTTAAGACTAGTTACGCGCGGAAAAAATGAAGAAGAGCGTTATGTTAATCTTCCTGCACAAAGACCTGTTACCTTAATTCCTAAAACGCAGTACGTTGTAGTCGATAATGGTAAAGAGCTTTTAATGGAAAGGTTTATTAGGGAACAAGGTGAGGAAGCTAAACAAATGAGGGAAAACATGAATAGAATTGTAGCTGACTTTGATAACTACTCTAATGATAGAAAACCACAAGTTATAAACGATCAAATTGAATCTCATGACTTCGCAAATATTCATCCTGATGTACCAGGTACCGTACCACTAAAAACAGATTATTTACAATCAGCCTTATTGCAAATGCAAAATAAATCTTCAATTCATCAAGAACTGTTAGAATCATCGCTTAGAAAACAGAATGAGTTATTGCACCAAATACTTATAGAACGAGAAAGACTTCTACAAAATCAAGAAACAGCATCTCAAGTTGAAAGCAAGTTAGAAACACAAAGCTTACCTGGGCATTCAGTGATTGCTACTCAAACTGAATGTCACATTGGAACTCAAACGGAACCTCAATTACTGACACCTATTAGACGAAAAGCAAGAAGTGACAACGACTCATATAGTGAAGACGAATCTCATACGGTTATAGAAGACGAAAAAAAGCAAGTGGTGTGGTTAAAAAGAAAGAAACCAAAAAAGAAAATCAAATATAAGGATCCTCGACGTAGTATAAGGGTTTACGAACTAAAAAGAAAAATCAAAACACCCATAATCGAAGAAAATGAAGCTTCGCCTTCTTTAGAAAGTGAAAAACATGTGAAAATTAGTAAAATGAACGAGAGAGAAGAACATTTTGAAAAGTACGGTGATAAAACTAAACGAACTATTACAACATCTAAAAATGAAACAATATCTTCCACAAGAGTTAAACCAACAGAAGATGATAAAAAAACTAGACTTAGGAAAGATATATTAATGGAAATATCAGATTCTTTTGATGAAAAAAATGATTCTGAACGTGAGCGTATGATACATTTACAAAGAAAATCGATAATATATCCTGAACCAAAAAGTAATCAATCTCTTGCCCTTTCATATGACAGTAATCAAGATACTCAAAGTCAAACAAGCTCTGCGACTAAAGATAATCGTAAAATAATATTATCTAGACAAAACTCAAATGAAGCTGGTGAAATTGTAGATGAATTATCGTCGCCTGTAAATAATAACGAGCATAAAATTGAATCACACATTAAAAACACAGAACACGCAAATGATGCACATAAATCAATTGAAGGTCCGAAGACGTCACAAAAAAGTTTACCCCGATACATGCAATGGTATGGGAAAAAATCAAATCTGAAAACTCAAAGCACAGAAAAAATTGCTCCAGATAAACCTAAAAGACCCTCTAAAACAAAAAATGATAATGATAAGCCCATGGATAAAGAAAAGTCAAATAGGTATGGAAAAATAACCAGCAAAAACAATCAAAATGACAGTACAGAGCCAAAAAAAAATTTCAAAGAAAAAGAAAATGAATTCATACACCCACGAATATTAAAGGAAGAAAAAGTTACGCCAGTGCCAGAAGGACCGCTTCCTGATATTCATCCTTTATTACAGCATTCTGAACATAGATATGAGCACCAGTACGAAAATCAAAATCCACTTTGCTACATCCAACCAACTCACATTCCAAAGTACTTTGGAACACAAACCGATCTTCCAATACTACCCCGCAGGCCATCACTTGAACAGCAACCTATATACGTCAATCAGGATGACATCAAAAGTAAAGATAAAATACCAGAAATATCGGAAAGTGCACTTACACACAGTATCTCCATATCTGCTAAATACGATGATGCCAGAAAAGCATCTGAAGTTCATGTTTCAAAAATAAATATAGGAGGTAACGATGGGTCAGAGTCAAATCAAAGAAATACATCAAAAGTTGATGATAATGATTCTGGTATCGCTATGAATACCTTAATTCAGCAATCTGGCAATATTAAAAGGCTGCCAATAACCGAAAAAAAGAGTGTTTTTACTATAGCCTATGACGATGTACAAACAAAACAGTTGCGACCGGATAGTAGTTCTACTTCATAATAAAAAATTCGGTGCCTTTTATAATTTTATTAAGTGCCTTTTATTAAGATATCGAAATAACGAGTACATATAGTTCATCATAATTCATAATAAACTTATTTAATTTATGAATATGTAAATAATTATTAATAAAAATGAAAAATAATTTTGATACGATCGTACATCAACTGCCTTTATTCCTCGACTGGTATTATTAATAGATAAGAAGAATGTAAATAAGCATGGTTATTTAAATTATTTTAAGTGTTCCTTTATGTAAATAAAATATTTCGTCCACCATGATTACGATGTGTACTGTTAGTGCATAATTCTATATTTGTTATAAAATATAAAGTTATATTACACTTTTTATTTATGCCTTTTATTTATTATCTTTACACAAGACATGCAACGGATTTTTTGTGTATGTATCGAGTTATTCCGGATAATTTTACACAAGTTAAAACAAAAACCTCCAAAATCATTGATGTGTGATTGATATGATTTCTTAAATTAAGGACCTCTTTTTCAAACATTATGATTAAACACGTGTGATTGACTATGAAGTATATTTCATCATCATTATCATTAAAGCCCTTTACCAAAGGAATGGCAATGAAATATATTTAATATATTTTACGTGGTAGAGCTATGTTACATTGCTATATTATGGTTACGCACCAGCACGAATGGGTCGACTCGACGGGGAAGGGACGACGCTCTCAGAGCTTACCTGTGTACAAAAGGCAGCCCAATGTTGCTGTGTTTTGAATGGCGAGTATAGAAATCCGGAGACCGTTTTTCTGGGAACCAGGCATTCCATCTTATTCCTCAAACGTGACGCTATTGATTTTGATTCTTAACCGAGGATAGATGTAAATGTCTATGGGCCACAGCATCCACTTACCACCGGGTGGACTGTGTGCTCGTTTGTCACCCTTATTCTATAACAAGTGATAAAATTAAAAAATTTGTAGGACCGACTTCAATATATAAATAAAATGAGAACACCATCAATGTAGGTTTTTTTATAGGATGGGGTGATAAACGAGCACACAGTCCACCTGATGGTAAGTGGTTGGTTGTTTGGTTGGTTGGTAATGGTGGTCCATAGACATCTACATCTATCTTCGATTACAAATCAAAATGCAGATGCGTTGTCACCCTTGAGGACTAAGATGGAATGCCTCGTTTCCAGTAAAAAAGGGTCTCCGGTTCTCTACACTCACCATACGAAATACAGCAGCATTAAGCTACTATTTCACGCTGGTATTCTGTGAGAGCGTGGTCCTTCCCCGGTCGAGCCGACCTATTCGTGCTACAACTATACTACTAATATAACTGCAGCATGGCTCTACCACGTAAAGGCTAATCAATTAAATACGCATTATTAAGGATAACTCAAAAACTGCTGGTCAGATCTTGATTATATTATATATACAAAATCGGTTCAACTAGAAAAAAAGTTATGAGACAGCACACATAAAAACATATAAACACACATAAAAATTAATTATGTGGTAGAGCCATTCTGCAGCTATATTAAGGTACGGACAGACGTGCTCATTAAGGTACGGACAGACGTGCTCATTAAGGTACGGACAGACGTGCTCATTACTAGCACAAAAGCATGCTTTTATTGCGCAAGTGCTCATTAGTAGCACGTGTGTCGCAACATTGCTATTAATGAGCATGCGAATCGATCTCGATTCGCGCCAGTTGCTGCGTCGATTTAAAATATAAAAGCCCTCGATATGTCGCGTTGGAGGGAAGAAAAAACTTTGCTTTTTCTTCTTACACCATTCGGTTGCAAGCAATATGATTATTTTATTAGGTTCTGTACGGATAGCACTGTAACTATGTCTTTGTACATCAATTTCGGCCGAGAGCCTGGTGCCAAATAGCACGTCTATTGCTTTAAACATACTTATTACTGGCTAATGTGAACATTTGCATAGCATGCTCATTTTAAGCAAGCTTATGAGAATGCTTTTTTTGGGCACGACTGTACGTACCATAACTAGCACGAAAGCATGCTTTTATTGAGCAAGTGCTCATTAATAGCATGTGTGTACACTCATTGCTACTAATGAGCATTCTTATTTTGAGCGTGCTCAAAAATCAACCGCCGTTTAATTTTCGAGCACGCTACCTGAGGCGCGTGTAGAAGGGGGCGTGCTCCGAACGCGTATGAACAGGTTTGCTTATGATTATTTTTAATATGATTATTTTATCGAGATCTGTACGGATAGCACCGTCACTATATCTTTGTACATCCATTTTGGTTGAGAGCCTGATGCTAAATAACAAGTCTAAAGTTTGCTTTGAGCACGCTTATTTATGAGTACGCTTTAAGCGTGCTTATTGTTGGCAAATGTGAACAGTTGCAGAGCATGCTAATATTAAGCAAGCTTATGACCATGCCTTTTTGAGCACGTCTGTCAGTAACATTATTGATATAGTTGTAGCACGAATGGGTCGGTTCGACCGGGGAAGCACCACGCTCTCCCAGAATACCAGCGTCAATTAGCAGCTTAACGCTGCTGTGTTTCATATGGTGAGTGTAGATAAGCGGAGAACCTTTTTACTGGAAACGAGGCATTCCCTCGTAGTCCTCATGGCTGACAACGCATCTGCATTTTGATTCGTTATCGAAGATATCTATGGGTCACAGTAACCACTTACCATCAGGTGGACTGTATGCTCGTTTGCCACCCTTATACTATAAAAATTCCGACCGCTCGTGATTCAATTGATACATGACACCCTCGCAGTGTGAAAACCCTCTTATCTTCGAGCAGATGTTTTCTAGGTATTCCATGTACTTCGAGAACGCGGCGGTGCCTTCCCAATATGGGTAGAGATCATAATAGACAACGAGTTTCCAATCGTCAGCTATCAAATGCATGTTTACAATCTTGTAGAAAAATAGGCTAGTATTATTTTGCAGTTTATTTATAGTATATAGTCCGCTAGTATCAGTTATAAGGGTCATAAAAAATAATAAGATAGAAGTTGCAACTGTAATGAAACTGTATCCTCTATTCCTTTGTTTTATCTTACGCTTTATTAGTTTCTCTTGCTTTAATTCTTGATCTTGTGTTTCTTCGGAGATGATTTTAATATAACCGTTTTTTTGTTTTTAATGTCACAACACGCACGTAGCCGTCGTTACCAGGGTGCAATTCGACCACCCTACCGAGGGCCCATTTGCCTGGAGGAAGGTTACCATCATTGATGAGTTTGATTGACTTGCTCCGGGCTAATAGATTTGTTAAATATTCTTGTTGCCACCTTTTCCAAATGTCTTGAAATATTTTTTGTGTTAAATGCCACCTAGTCCTAAGATCTCGTTCCGTCTCATAAATAGACAATGTGAAGGGGTTAAATAATTTACATCATCAGCGTCCTCCGTCAATGGACACGGTGGTCTCGAATTTAAGCAAGCTTCTAATTGTGCTAGCAACGTGCTGTACTCTTCGTAGGTGAATTTTTGATCACCAACCACCCTCCTTAGATGATACTTGAGGCCTTTCACGGCTCCTTCACAAAGACCATTGGCTGACGGCCACGAAGGTGCATTCAAGTGCCAATTTATACCCATGTCGGACACTTCTGAGAGGAACTCATCACCAAATGTTTTGAGGAGCTCTTCGTATTCCTGCTGTAAGACCTTGTTGGCTCCTATGAAGTTCGTGCCATTATCGCTATAAATGTGGTTAGGTTTGCCACGGCGAGCTGTCATTTTCCGTAACGCTGCTAAGAATGCAGTACTCGTCAGGTCAGACACCAACTCCAAATGTACAGCCTTTGTGGCCATACACGTAAACACAGCGATATAACCTTTCGTAGTTTTGATCCCACGGCCTGAGTTAGCTTTGATGAACACGTGGCCCGTGTAGTCTACAGCGACATGATGAAAGGGGCGTGAAGGGTTTACTCTAGCTGTTGGAACCCATAATTTGATAGTGTTTGGTTAGTTCGTGCCTTCTACATTTGATACAATGACGTAATCTCTCCTTCGTAGCTCTGTTGCCACCGACGATCCAGTACTTTTGTCTCAGGTTGGCTGATGTTAGCCGAGCACCACCATGGTATGTCATTTCATGCGCCTGATCTATAAGAAGCTCAGCAAAGCGACTGTTGCCAGGTATAATGATAGGATTTTTCATGTCTGGGTCCAGATTGGCATTTCGCAACCTCCCACCGACTCTCAATACTTCATCTTGATCAATATACGGATTTAGTTCACAAATGTTGCTTTTTCGATTTAATTTATTTCCTTGCTTTAAATCTGATAACTCTCTTGCAAATCCCGTTTGTTGTCTATTTTTGATAATTAATAACTTAGCTTCTTTCAACTCTCGTACTGTTAAATATTTTATATTTTGACCTTTTTTGATAGTTAAAAATCTCCCTACATTTTAATAAGATTTCTTGAATGATAAAATCAGGTTGATGTTGTGCTACTAAAATTATTTTTGATAATTTTAATTCTTCGTTTGTTGTATAAGCGGTCTTATGCCCTTGATCATTATATGTTGATAGCCAAGTCGGGCCCAGCCATCACAAGGTCTGGGCTTTGAGTTGTGATGCAGTTAGACCACGACTGGCACAGTCGGCTGGGTTTTCTTCCGACTTAACGTACCTCCAGCAGTCAGGTGCCATATTTTCGGTTATTGTACGAACTCTATTTGCCACAAACGTTTTCCATCTGGATGGTTCTCCGTTGAGCCACCCCAGTACTACCCTACATCGAAGTCGAGGTTGGCCGAGCAACTGAGCCGCATATTCACTGATGAGAGAAGCTTGGGACCCCTGATCTATTACAGCACGCACGTTGACAAAACTCTCATCATATTTTTGTACCTTAAGTGTAGCTGTAGCTAAAAGAATTTCAGGCACATCACATTGCATCGACACGTGTAAGTTGCTTCGTACTTGACCCGAAGTTTCAGGTTTCTGGTTGCTTACGCGGGTTGCTGCCTTCGGCGAATTATTATAATTATGTTGAAATGATT